TTCACCTAGTATTCTCTCTTTTTTAATTGAATCGCATCTTTAAGAGAAAAATTAACATTTTTAGAGACTCTTCTTCGTCGCTGATTTTGTAACGGTATATTAGCATAATCATCCTTGCTTGATGAGGTGAGTCTGAGTGTTGTGCGCAGCATAAAGTAGGGCAGCCCCGTTCAAGCGCACTTGTGATGGAATTCTATTTATAGTATTACCATACATTTAAGTATATTAGTATATTCTGTCGTGCTTACCGATGCTAACGTACTTTATGAATAATGCCTATGTACTACTGTATTATTTATTACTGCCCCCCCCCCCCCCCCAAAAAAAAAAAATCATTTGAATTCTACAGACAATCCTCTTAGTAGTGATACCGCCGGGAAGCCATTATAATTACTATCCGGAGGAATCACCATCTGGAGCTGTAACATTACATGGGTATCATCGACTAAACGCATGCTACGCTGATTAATGAAATTCGACTATTTCAAAAAACTTGTATTCATTTAGAGTGATTCTCTAGAAAACATCTAGATCCCAGCCTTTGCGACGCCTAGTTATGGTACTGAATCTGTACCAAACCGTACGCTAGAAATATCGATGGTAGTACAGACTGCATCAGATAATATCGTTATGGGGTACGATTTTCGCGATTTCCAACAAACCCCGCAGTAGGCACATGAGGCCACATTCTGGATTAAAGGGTCATCGCAACAAGTATTCTTTTGCAGATACTATGCTAATTTCGTATTACGAAATAGGCAACAGAAATCATGCTTCGGTGGGCGAATGGTATACAATAGCGGGGTACAGGAAATGCTGCTGCCGATCGGACGGGTGCATTTGAAATTAAGATTGTGTTGTCAAGCCTGATAACAGCGGGTGCACAAGGCAATATTCACCAAGGGAATATGCATTTCTAGCACTCCGTTGTCTCGTGCATACCTAGCACCGGCAAATGAAGCGGATGTCGAGCTGTGATCGCCTGTTCTGAATTTTGGTCTAAACAAATAATCCGACCTAAATCCAGGTCATGTCTGCATACTTCCCAAGAAATAATCGTTCAGAATCCATCAAATTTTGCAAGGGTATACAATTCAGCATTGCTTTTTAATATTGAGCAGTGCTAGCCAGTAGGCTGTCGGTCAACAGGTCAATGATAGTTTCACTTTGTCCATACATCGCAAGGCTTTGTAGTACCGTCTCAACGGAGTAGTATGTAAAACATCTCCTGGTGACAAGCGTATGAATAACGAGAAGCTATCAGAAAAAAATAAAACACAATACTTTCACTACATTACTAAACACTTAGTAAGAACCGTTTTCTGAACCTGCCACAGATATTATCTGCGGCAGGATCATAAACTAAACAAATGTTACCTGCGTCGTCGCCCTTTCGTTTAAGTTTGTGTTATTGTGTGGAATGTTGCGCGAAAAGTACAACTGAGCTTTTATCCGCCTGAAATCATGTCTGTGGTCCCAACCAAGTATCTAAGTGTAATTTCGCTTCAAATTCTTTGACAGTTAATCAATTTATTTAATGTGCTAATTTTAGCGTCGAAAAGCGATTCTCTCGGTTGCCTTTTCAAGAAGAGAAAATCCGGGCTAGTTTTGGCGTAGTTAGTACGTGACTGATCCATAAAGATGACTATAAGTGGACACAATGCTATCAGGCCCTGTTAAAATTAAGAACAGGCTGAACCTTCCACTTCGCTAACAGCAGGGGAATGCCACCGGTTTGAGCAACTTTGCGCGCAGAACGGGGCTTCGTGGTGAATAGGTAGGTTCATGGGCGGCTTCTTCATATTATCTACTGCATTCATAAAGAAGAACTTATACTCATTCGAAGTGCCTTCTAGACCCACTCAGGGAGTTGCCTCTTTTTTTTTAATGCACCCACTCAGAATTCCGCCTGCTCTGAAATACCGTATAGTACTTCTTCCTTCCGACACCCTATACAGGGCTAAAACTGCCCATCATATTATAGCCTGTCCAATAACAACATTTAGCCGATTGGTTTCTCTATTGTGATAGGCTGAGTTTTGGTTGTCAGATATAAGTAGTTGTCGGATGAAAGAAGTATTATACGGTAAGCATTTTTTCCTGTGCTAATCAATTAAACGATTTTATTTTGGTACCACGGTTTCGAGATGTACTATCCAAGCTATCGAAGGCAGCCTCGCTACTGCTGTGCTGCAGCTACGAAACAGGCGCAGCAGACGCGACGGCAAAGGAGCCCCAAGGCATTGAAAGATTAGATAATAATTTGTTTTGCAAAATTTCAGAGCTTGGGCGCTACTTCGTTTTCGTAAATAGGTTTGTGTGGTTTGCAACGTAAAGTTCGTTGCTCACATCCGACAAGTTGCCGCTACAAAGTGATTTTCATTTTGCTGGGAGGCAGCATTCGCCACTAAGAAGTGGCCAAATAATCCTAAAATGAACAAGTAAACCTGTTAATTATCCGTCAGCACATGAACTATAACCGTAACTATCTTAGTCAATGCAAACATTAGCTGCGATGACCTCATGTTCTATTTAGCGCCAATTATTGGTGAGCAGGAGTGTCATATGCACAGTATAAAAATTGATGATGAAAGGTAGCCTTCTATTTTGTTACTGTCAAAAATATTAATAAAAACTCTCTTGGCAATTGCTAAAAAAATGGATCAAATTGGCAATTCATTGAATGTGATCAAAATCGCCCCTCGCTGTTCCCGAACACTCATGCTGTAGGTTGCAAGGGAAGTAGTTTCTTTCCATTTGCATCATACACGGAGGAGCATTTGAGTAGAAGCCTTCTATCCCCTCGAGAGCTTCTAAGCACCAGATTGGCATGGGCCAGATTCGTTGCATGAAACTCCTGGATGAGCCTGACAAAACGGTGTATTTACTATTAGTTATGCTATTAGGGAGTTTAAGAGACGTCATGTATTTGCTTTTTGTTGTATATTTTGCATTTTTGTAGGCACAGTTCGAACTTAACAAGCACCGTGATACTGCACTGGCGATTTTCTAGCTACAGAACCGGATGAAAATGTAGCCGCGTTTTTCTAAGAAGTTTATCCTATAACAATACCAAGTAGGTGAACAGTAAGTTTACACAATCCGTCACAAGCTGTATTAGTTTAGGGAGGTTGATATGTATAAAACATCACACACCGTTCGTAATCCTTGTGCTCCTGAAAATGATATCCCCCAATAAGCGATGCATAAGTACTTCGGATTAAACCGTTGCTTGTATTGAGATCAACGTGAAATTCAATAGGCACGCTAATGATTCCGCACATCAACTTTCTACCGACTCGAAGCAACCTGCAACTGACGACAATACACCATGTGGCAAACGACGGAGATGCTTCTTTTCTGTTGAGTTGGTGTTGATACGTGAAGAAGTACTACGTTGCATTTGCAGAATAAACAAACAGTTGATTTTATAAGAGAAACACGATAAATCCATTGTGTTTTGCGTTTCCAACGTCCAGGCTGGATCGACGCCTAGACTTTTGCTTCCTCGCACTTCTGCTCGAGTGTAAAAAATGATCTCCTAGCTCTTTCAGGATGATGTTGCTCCATAAAGTTCGCCCCACCTCGAATTACTTCCCAGTATTTCCTTGCACGTGGATCTCGCCCTGCCACCATCGAATCGTACCACTCAGTTCATGCCATCGTTGCTACGTATCACCGCCTACCTCTTGATGTACCCGCTGCGACATACATACATCACGTCCATATGCCCTTCCAACATGATCCAGTAATCGGATTGTTCTCGAACAAAACACCACCACTATAGTAGCGACAATATTTGCTTCACGATGATTCTATCGACTACAAGTCGGCAACACTCCATGCAAATGCAAACTGGCGGAAAGGTTTGTTAGGTTTACTTGGTACTCGCATACGAATCATTATTGACGTTCAGTCAGGAAAAACAAGCCAGTGCAGGACATTCGGAAAAAAGAGCGTGCCGTTCAAATTGTCACTGTTGTTCGGTACTGTTAAAAATGATATCTCGTATCATACGATCATTAACTTAAAAAGTCGCACTATCATTTGTACCAAACTAAAACTTGAAAATTGATTTCTCGACATAAATAAATCTAAAGAAGCTTAATGGATGCAGCTGCTACAACTTGCCACCTACTCGAGAACTGTAAATTAATCTTGACGCTACCTCGCTCTCAATGAGGCAACGTAGGAAATGCTGGAAGTGTATGTGCAAGTGTATTACGGAACAGACATTACGATGTAGTACAAATCTCGGTTGATATTCATCGAAAATGGCCAAAACAGGCTTATGATACAGCCACCACATCATACATGTTTTACATGCTCATAGCGATGGCCACGTGAATCGCTTTACCACTTGAATCAAAACCAGATAAGCCCTTGTTGTGGATATCCTTCATAATTTTCTCGAAGTCCGCTCATCTCGTTCTATGAGAGTGTACACTTTGGGTACGCGAATGACTACTATACCACAAGCGCGCGCTGCACAAGGCAGCTCGTTCCGAGAAAGTGATCAACAAAGTTTAGTCCAGTACCATTTCTTATCAGAATGCTTTCGTAGTCGTCGACACAGTCCTGCCGTCTTGTTGGTAAAATGTTGATATACGTGCGCCATCTCAACATTATTTCCGTGTAAAGATCGAGAAGCATAACAGTTCTTGCCGATCGTAAAGAATCCTCCACGTGGCAATAGCCGCCGAAGTATGGTTTGCCAACAACATCCAATCGAATTGTGCTCTTCTCGTTGATTCACAGACATCTTGAAACTAAAAAAAACAAACTTTTTCTTCTTCGCTGCGCTAAAAAATGAAACTAAGTTCTTGAGTTCTACCAAGTTTATTATCGTGCAGCACTCTTTTTCGTTGCTTTCCAGTTCCTTCCCCATCCCAATCGGTGGTCTGGAGGGCTCGCCTCTCCTTTTTAACCCCAAGCCTGGGGTGTAATCGTACTTAACTGAATCTCCTGGAAACTAAGAAAAACCTAAAAAAGCGACGATAGCCCCCCTCTGTACCGGCCTCACTCCCAGATTCACCGTCACAGAGCGACTTGTCCAGCATTATTTTGCCGAAAAAACAGCCTAAACAAATAATGATGGCGCTATCCGAGCGGCCGACCCGAAAGGCCAAAAGGACTGACGTGGACTATGCCGTTTTATCCTCGGGTCAACAAATCCCCGATTATTCGGACGAGAACGACGACTCGGACGATGAGAGCTACGGCAGCAACTACAAGAAGAAGCGGCGCAAACAAGGCGCCGAGTGCTTTATCTGCCACCGGCCGCCCAGAACCTACAAAAAGACCATGCTACAATGTGACAGCTGTTCCAGGATGTAGGGCATCAACTCTTATGTTGCAACCAAAAAAAACTTGTAGGAAAACGCACTAAACACAATTATTATAATGTGCTTTCATCTATTGGATAACAGGTACCACCAGGCTTGTGGCAAGCCCTTCCAGTCGACCTCCATTCTAGGCAACACGAGCTGCTACGAGTGTCTTCAAGAAGCCAAGGTGGACTCGTTGAGTGCTCTGCCTCGCAAGACACTGGACTCCATCGCCGACTTTGTCAAGGTGCTCAAGAAGGCCAAGAAGGTCGTCGTCATTGCTGGAGCAGGTATCAGTGTGTCCTGTGGTATTCCAGACTTCCGCTCCAAGGACGGAATCTACGCCATGGCACGCAACATGGACGTTGTCTTACCGGAACCAGAGTGTCTGTTCCAGATCGACTACTTCCGAGACGACCCGGCCCCATTCTTTGAGGTGGTGCGCAATGCCTTCGCCAATTCGCCCAAGCCGTCGCCGACGCACTGGTTCTTGAAATTATTGCAGGACAAGAAGAAATTGCTGCGTGTCTACACGCAAAATATTGACGGACTGGAGGAAGCTGCAGGTGTGACGCGGTGCATTCCGTGTCACGGAAGTTTTGCCTATTCGGCCTGTATGCGCTGCAAGAAACGCGTGCCGACGAGCACGTTGATGCCAGTTATTCAAGCAGGAATTATCCCGTCGTGTTCAGAGCCAAACTGCCGCGGTGTGTTGAAGCCAGAGATCACATTTTTTGGCGAGATTCTGGACGATAAAGTGAGTACGATGATCACAAAGGACCGTCTACAGGCAGATCTGCTTCTCGTTATGGGCACGTCGCTTAAAGTTGCGCCTGTCATGGAGATTCCAGGCTATTTGCCATCGCACATTCCGCAGGTTGTGATCAACAAGACGGCGTTGAAGAAAAAGAAATTAAAATCGAAGAAACTCTCGACGGGTGGAACAATGAGCCGAGTCAGTGGTAAACGAGGTGGGAAGAAGGACGAAGACGAGGAAGAGGAGTTCGATATGTCGCTCTTGGGCGACTGTGACGACATTATCCGCTACATTTGTGCCCAAGCTGGCTGGGATCTGGACCCGAACGCGATTGAAGCAGCTAAGAACAAGCCACTCATGCACAGCAGCCAGGTAATATCGCATCAGGATTCAACTGGCAAGCAAATCTACTGCTTTGGAGAGTGCCAGTGCAAGAACAAATTGGCTGCTGGTATGAACGACGACGATGACGAGGAAGAGGAGCAGAAGCAGCAGGAGGAAGAGATTGAGGAGGATATCGTGTGGTGCGTTGGCTGTACTGTATATTCTTTGATTTATTTTATTGTCTAACGACTCGCTAATTGGCGTATATTATAGTAATCGTTGCGAACGCCAGATTGATACAGAAGCACAGCCTGGATCCGGATGCAAGACTGTCCATTACCGTTGCGAGTACGTCTTTTTTGAATTTGTTAGTATTGTCCAGCGCAGATGAATCTGATTAGTGTTGTCTGTTCTGATATACAGCGACTGCTTTGACTACGATCTATGTGGAGATTGCTATCCCAAGAGGAGATACAAGCACAAGGGCGGCAGACATCGTTTCACGCAGTGCTTATAGAGGGTCAGCATTCTTCTCGAAGCGAGGAACGTCTACTGATAATAGATAGTTTGAACGGCGTTCATAAGAGCTAATTAATCATGTTAATGTCGTCGATATCGCCCTCAGTGACAGACTACTTTAGGGCAACGATGAAACAATGGCTTTCTATCCGGTTTATCAAAAGTCATTGGTTAGAAGCCTTGTATGCATTGACTCGAGACGCCAGACCGCTTTGGTCTGCAGTTCGCAGGCTATATGGTACAGACGAGCCCTCGGCAGTCATAGTGCTGGGAGCCCAAATTTATTCCTGTCTATGCGTATTCCTATTCATGAATGCACCACAAAAATGATTCCGAGTAACTTTAGCTTGGAACAGTGCAAAATATACTAATGGAGACGATTGATGTTGCTCGTTACTGGCGTTTCACCCTGTTTTACTCTCACATTGCCAGTTTTGCCTCGCCACACCAAGATACTAGCCCAGCCAGTCTCCCTCACACTCACCTACACTCAACGACTGCTGTACAAACGCTAGCACCATACTCACGTCCTATAATAATTTGTCCCAAACAGTGCTAGATTCATGGGCTCACAGAATCTACGATCTTCCTCTGGTTTCACCACAAGCATGATATGGTAGCTATTAATCCACAGAAAAGCGCTGGAGTCACCTCCGGCCTCGCATTTGATCGCAAAATTGCAGCACGCGGTGTGCCATCCTAAACTCGACAAGTTCCTTGCCAGTTGGATCTCCTGGTGTAAAGAGAAAGGTGTCATCGTCACGGAAGAGGCAATTAGACTGAATGCACAACGCTTCTCCGTGATCCTAAAGCTCGAGTCACGTCCAACATGGTCAAAGAATAGGCTTTATCGGTTGAGCATTCGGATCGGACGTGGCAGCAATAATGCTCCTGTGCAGTTATGATTGTTCCCATAGTTAATCACCCCCATAATAGGAATATTTGACTTCAAAATTTGGAATACATTTAATGAATTCCATTTTACAACTGAGGGTTGAGAGGGAATAATATCTTGGGTTTGTATGCAACTGGTCAAACTTATTTATTGCTGTTGAGGGAGTATTCCAAATCAAGGATTACTACCGAGGGGATCGTCTGTACTGAGCAGTCAAGATGGAAATACGTCGAGTAGCCTCCATGGACTTTCTACTCCTATATGGGCAAACGCAACGACCATTTAGCCAATCATTCATAGCTATCTCGTGCGTACTTACATCGTGAAGTTGCTGACAGACTATTTTGTCTTGAGTAGCGTATGCAAACAAAGCTAAAATGTGATGTTGCCCGCTAGTACATGTAGTTGTAAACAGTGGTTTGTATCTGATGTAGTTACCAACTTTCCAGAATGTATAGATAAATGAAATTCGTCGTGCAGAATGGACGTCTACCAAAAATGCAGTATGTACCCGCCATATCTGCACCAGATAAGGCGGATTTAAAAAAAGATATAAGCCAACTTATCGAATCTGGCGTCTACCACAAATACATTAAGACAACAATGTTTGTCCTGTTCAAACTGTCCCAGCTTGTAAAAGTTACTATGATTTTTAATGTACCCGTCATTTCAACCCGGACACTTTGAGCTGTTGAACCTTCCATTTTTTTTCCTTTCCGGCTCATTGGCCCACTAGGTGTTTTGAGGATTTCCGGTACATATGGAAGACGGCGAGGACACTACAGCTACTCTGCTGCTCTGACTGAGCAACGCTCTCGTCGACTACAAGCTGGAGGCGACCGACGTCCGCGAAGAAGTTCACCAGCTTATCATTAAAGAGGCATGGAGGATCGCTATGAGATCGCAGCACTACTTGACCGTCGAGTTCCTTGACAAACCAACCGAGTCGACCTGGATGGCACTCTATCTATCCGGCACCAACAAAAACTTCTTAAATGCAACGGGTCTGACACGGTGAGAAACAATTCTCTTTTTCTTGACGTTATCGAAGATGCTGACGTTAAACCAATAGTGCTGAGCTCATTCTCTCGCCTGCTTCACCGTGTTTCGCACTTCTACGACATCCTTCATCCGTCATCGCGTGGCCGTCCACGGAAGCTTCAATATCTACATCTAGTACTGGGTCTAGTCCTCTCCTATTACACCGGGTCCATGGAGAACAGCACGGTGGCTTGCTGTTCGGAGTCCCTTCCCGCACTTTATCCCGGACACTAAAAACAAAGCCGGGAAGGCTTTTGCAGAAACGTTGGTTGGGTACGGCTCAGATCATATTGCGTGGCCGTCGCCCACACAACAAGTGAATTTGACACGTCTTGTGGAGACCAGAGAACCGCTGTTGAAGCACACGTTCGGCTTCATTGATGAAAAAAAAAAAACCGTGTAAGTATTTGTGATGGCCAAGACGTTTTGGTAACGATGTTTCTAACATTTGCTGTTTAAACTTTCAGGTAAAGCAACCGTCGAACGCAGATCTCCAAAACGCCATGTATAATGGTTGGTTACATGCAGTGTTTGTCACTGGGACCATCTGCTTCTCCGCTGATGGTTGTACCATCTGGAGTCGCAATAATTGTCCAGGTTCCTGGAACGACACGAGTACCTCTCTGGGGTTCCGAGTCAAATTTCTTGATCCGAAGTTCTGTCCAGACCCACGTATGGACGTGGTCTCGGACTCTGCATTCCCCAGCTCGCCTGAGTTGACCGGCCGCATCTTGACCCCGCAAAAAAAGGTGACATCTATCGTATTTTGCCTGAGCTCCGCAGTGCGGCGCGTACGATGCACAACGCGATTGTGTCAGTTCGGTAGGCCGCGGAGTGGGACATGGGCACTATCCAGAAGATTTACAGCCGCCTAAACATCCCTCTTCTCTATGATCCCGAACTCCGCGGCCTGCGAATCAACAACATGTTTCGTCTCGTCAATTTCAGCGTGCGTACAGTCGGTATTTCTCAGATTCGCACAACCTTCAGCGGTGAAATGGATATGACAACTTAACGGGTAAGGTTGGACACTTTTGAGTGTATTATTTGAGTTGACCGAGGCTTACAAGAAATCAAACGCTACATATGAAGGAGCTTCAGTGTTGTCTGGTTGTTCCGATATTTCGTCAGAGCTCAACAATACTGCACTTGTTACCTTCGCCGAGCATTTCTCTCGTGTCAAGCAACATGGACCGGCGCAAGGATGAGAGTCTTTGAAGTTAGGGTTCCATCGTCAAGGCTCCGAAAATCATCGCCAGCTCTTGGGTGCGTGCGCGGGCGTCCTCCCTGTCACGGCAAACGTGTTCTTCTCTCTCAAGGCTTTCCTGAAGGCGACGCTCTTCCGCTTCCTTTTTCTCGGATTTACATCGCTCTTCTCGAGCGGCAAGTTCGTCGCAGCGGCGTTGTTCTTCATCGGCTCGGCGCGCCTCTGCTTTCGCCTCGTTCTCTTCACGGAGGATTAGCATCATTTGTATCATACCTCCCCCCAGGTTGGTGGAAGCGTTCTGGATCGAAGCCAACTTCTGTCGGAGAGTATCCTTTGCATTCTAGGCTCTCACGCGATTCATTTTAGCAAAGCTTGTCTCAGCGCAATCCAGATCTACGTCTTTTGAGGATCGCTTCGCTTCGAGGCTGGACCGGAATGAACGCAAGTCAGCTCCTCCAAGGCGGTTGGATGAAGATTGCAACGTGCTGGAGGTGTTTGTACCAGTCTCGTCACGGTTGCCGACTGGCTGTCCGGACTTGATCTTCACGGGCTTCGGCTTTGACGCCGGTGGATCGAGTCTTATTCGGCTTACACAGCCCAGTCGAGTGTATAGTACGCGTTGGTACCGACTGTGGAGTACTGTCCTCTGGTGCGAAGGCTTCCAGGCCGTTCACACCCACCCGAACGTCGAAGACGGTTTGCGTGTTGATACGCGCAGCCTCATCACCCTGGGGGGGGGGATCGGTTTTCGACATCGACTGCCGAAGCTTCAGTACCGGTAAAGGTGGCGAAAGACGCGCTGTTCGATGTATCGACCCCGCCAGCGACGGCATCGCCATCGCCATCGCCGCCTCGATCAGGAAAGAGTGAGCCGTCCGGCTCGTAGTCGAAGCTGAAGTCGGACTCGACGCGGCGTTCTTCTTCCTCGTCGTCCTTCTCGTGCGGGCCTTCGTCAGAACCTACGTCAGCACAGGCGTCCATCTCGACGACGTTGGCCTTCTCGTCCATGACCCTTTTCAGCTCCTTTGCTCGCTCGATATGGGGTGGAATGTAGGCTTTCCATGTCGGCTTGCAAGTACTTTAAAGAGGCTTGAACTTTCGGCGGAGGCTGTCAAAGTCCCGCTCGGCCCAGCTACGCGGACGGGTAGCGTTGAATTCGCTGGCCAAGCGTTCCCACCCGTCCTTTCCAAGCGGCAAGTACGATTCCACCAAGTCCATAAGGCGGTTTACCTCCGCCATCTTGTAGTTTGAACTGCCGTTGTTTTTGCCCATGCGGCGAGAGTTGCTGGAAGGCTTGAGGCCTTGTGAAGGAGGTTGGTCGCTGGACAGCAAAAGCAAAAATGAGAGTCCAGGCGAGTGAATCCACCATACCTCGAAGCCGCTGTCACCTTGAGCCAATAGATCTCCGCATCCAGTCAAATACAGACCTTATTTGGGTTTGGCGCTAAGGTCGAAGGCGCGAAAACCTCGCGCTTGCCGTCGCACAATAGTCAGCAGTGAATCCTTAACACGAAGTTCAAGTCGATACCGGAACAGTTGGCGCGGGGACGGACCGTTCTCGAGCAAACAGCCTCCTTTACCAAAGATATGTTACACTTCAAACATCTCTAACTTCAATACAAAAAGACGTGAAACAACCCGTTTATTGAAAATCATACAAACGAACCAAATTCATCGTAATGTCAGCCTTTGAAATCCTCGTGCTGTCCTTCAACTTGAAGCCTTCGACAACTTCACCTCGCTCGCTGACGACGTCGCAAAGGGTCGCTGCTATCCTGGAAGTCGCCGTGACGGCAACTAGCGCTCCGGCAGCGGCACGCGAACCATAAGTCATCGCTGTAGTCCGCTGTAATCTCCTGCCCTCAGCGAACTCGCTCCGTTGTGACCACAACCACCGTGGTTCGCCTTCCATTCACGATCTCGACGAACTTGGCGACCGGCTCGCATGAGTGATTTACACATCTCATGAGCCCTACCATTCGTTCCGCGTTGATGGCCACTCGGACGGGATCTTCAGGGCGCTCCAGGCGCTGCCTCATTACCAAGCAATAGCCTGTATTCCGCGGGCAGCTTTTGTTCATGCTGAGGTGTTCCAGTTCGCCAAGATACTGGCCGACCACTTCTCCCGCTTCGATGCCTTCAACCGCAGCCACTCTTAACGAAGCCGTCCGTAGATTGCGAGCCAAGTACACCTTGTTAGACTCCTGAATGCCATTGCCGCACATGCCCTCGTACGGGCAACAGTTGATGTTGCAGTGCATGTTCATGAGGGTGTTGCGGCAGCTGTCGAAACGACACGGGTCTTGGCAGTTGCACGAGCCAAATGGGGGACCGCAGGAAACACCGTTTCCATGGGGTTGTAGTGCTCTCGCAAGTGAGCAACTTTTTGGGGCCAGCACGAAGGAACGAGCATGTCCGCGGTTCGACATGATCGTAGCCTTGGGCCTGTAGGCGTAGCAATTCGACTCGTCAGCAATGCGGCTCCATAACCCCTTCGGTAAAAAAATAGAAGGGCATGGTCAAAGAAGGCTCTGCGTACGCGACGGCAGAGCGCGTGGGTCAGCATGGTCCATCGTAAGAGTCAGTAGCGGCGTCCACCCGATGTTTCTGTAGTAAATGCAGGATCCGGATCAAGTACAACAGCCTCACATAATATTCTAAAACATAAGCTTTCCGTTTTCAGCTTCATCCTAACCTACTCTGCAATGGCTCGAAAAAATCGCACGTCAAGTTGAAAAAAAAACACCTTGTCATGGATGTCATCATATAATGCCACGTCTCCTAAATCTTCTACATCTTCTATGCCAGGAACCAGTTCATTGTCTTTCATCACGTCTTCAATACCAGCGACTAAATCAGAATCATTCATGTCTTCGCGGGTAACCACGTTTAAATCATCACCACCCGTCGACACGAACAAGCTTCAAAGCTTCAATGGTCTCTACTATTGCCGTTCGAGCAGATTCCGCCGTCGTCACCATAGGTTGCGGTCGGTGGAAGTGTGTGTATGTATGGGTAGGGGGGGGGGG